CCAGCCCAGCCCAGCCCAGCCCGGGGAGGCAGATGCAGCCGCTCTGCCTCCTCCGTGGCTCTGCCCTGGTCTCTGGGGTTCTCAGGGGGTTTCTCAGGCTGCCCAGCAAATAGCAGGCCCCACCGTGCCCTGGGGCAGGGGTTGGGGACAGCCACTGGTCCAGTGTGGCGGGGCAGGAGCTCCAGGCCTCGGCTGGGGTGGGGGGCATCCAGGATGTCCTTCCCCAAGGATGCTGCCTGCCTTCCAGCTCCACCCTGGGGACCCTGTCCGGAGCCTCCCTGCCCGTGGCAGTGCCACACCCACCCCTGGCTCAACCTTGCGCGCTCCCAAGCATCCCACCCCGCCGGAGAGCAAGACCCGGCCACGGCCCCACAGGTCACCCCTGTGCTAGGGAAAGGCCTCCAACCCAGAGGCTCTCCACCACCCGCAGCCCCTGCCCCACCCATGCCCACAGAAAAGCCCAGCCGGACGCCTGCGCCGGGCCCTGCGGTGACTTTGCTCTGCCCATCCTGCCCTGCTCCCCACAGCGCCCTCGGCCCACGCCGCTCTGATCCAGAGGTGCCTACATCCTTCCCTGGGCTGTCTGCAGGCCCCAGCAGTGCTGGCCTGGCTCTGCTCCAGCCAGCCGGCACCCACGGGTCACCCGGCTGCGCCCACATCAGCAGCTTGGAAAGAAAGCAGTGCACCTCCCCAAATGCAGCCCGCTCCCTGCGGGGCAGCAGGGAGGCAGAGCAGATGGGGCGGGGGTCCCGGCTGGGTCTGCGGGAGACATTGCAGCACCGCGACCCCTTCATCCCCCCCCTCCCCACCCCATGGGCTCAGGACCACTGGATGGGGGGGCGGGGGGGGCAGAGGCTGTGTGGATGGGGCCCATGAAGGGCTGGGCCTGAGCATCCTCTGCTCCAAGCCCCTCCTGCAAGGGCGGAGGGTGGGGAGTGCAGGGGGATGCGCCCTCCCTGCTGCCTGGGTGGGTTTCATTGGCCGGGTCCCCTCCCCCAGCCCCGGCTGGGTCCCAGCGCTTGCCGCCTTCCCAGCCCAGCCCCCTCCCCCTTTGTCCCTGCTCTGCTGCAGGGCTGAGCTCAGGGGGTCCCCTGCCAGGACGGAGCCGGGCGCCCCTCTCCCGGGGCAGCCCCCGGAGCGGGGAGGGTACCCCCTCCCCACGGCACCTGCCAGGAGCCGGGGCCCCCCAAGGACAAGGCTCTGCATGGAGGACCCAGCCGGGCTGGGTGCAGGGACCCTGGGGACCACTGGGCAGCGGGAAGCACCCACCCTCCACCTCCTTCCT